ACTGTCTAATTTCCTTTTATTTTCGTTCGTCAATTACTTCAAGCACGAGGGCTGGAGTGGGCAGTTAGAGACACACTTTGCACATTTCAAGCTTTAATAATACTTTTTATCTACAGCCAACTCGTTTATCAGATTCCTTAACCTAACCTAACCTAACCTAACCCAACCTAACCTAATCAACACCTGCAGGTCAAGAGGTGTAGGAAAGTCACCACCGTCAGGATGTTCAGTATATCGACCGGTGGGGGGTGAGGGAGGGGGGGTGAGGGAGGGGGGTGAGGGAGGGGGGTGAGGGAGAAGGGGGAGATGTTTCTTACTGTGCCCGAGTAGAGTGTGTGTGTGTGTGTAGGAGCATCGAGGCTACCATTATCCATGAACAACTACGCTGGACTGGCCATGTTACCCGCATGGACAACAGTAGACTGCCAAAGCAGCTACTTTACAGTCACCTAACGAATAGTAAACGTAACGCCGGCGGGCAACTGAAAAGGTATAAGGATAGTCTTAAGACAAACCTGAAAAAGTGCCAAATCGACCCCCTCACCTGGGAGACGATTACTCCACATCGTAACGCTTGGAGGAGCACCACACGGGAAGGTGTCAATACTTTCGAGTTAGCCCGACTGCAAACCGAGGCAGACAAGCGCCAACACCGGAAAGACGCTGCCACCGACCCTCCCGCACTAGATGTAGCCCCCCACATGTGCAACATCTGTGAACGACCCTGCCGGTCCCGTATCGGCCTCTTTAGTCACCTCAAAACTCCCTAATAACTCATACCATTGTCAGACTGAGCTGAATATCATTACGGGCCTGACCTGAGTGACACAGCAAAGTAGTAGTAGTAGTAGCAGCAGTGTGTGTGTGTGTGTGTGTGTGTGTGTGTGTGTGTGTGTGTGTGTGTGTCCCTTACCTCCTTCAACTAAAGAGTATCACCCTCCTCCTGACCCTAACACAAACTTAACATGAGTGGAGAACACCGGCGGAAGTTACACGCCTTGTTTACCTGAAGGAGGAAGACGCACCATGTACCCGCACCCCAGCGAGAGCCTCTTACCTGCAGCAGGACTAAGGAATAATCAGGTTCCCTGGGCTATAATCACGCCCGGCTTACTGCTGAACGCTGCCGAGGTCTGAGGCTGTCTTCTCTGCATACTGTACAGGGTGTTGTAGAACCTCTCCTTCAGGAAACCCACTACACTATACCACACACACACACACACACACACACACACACACACACACACACAGGTTAGGATTTTTTTAGGTATCTTTTGATCTTTTATTTTGAAACAGAATTAACGATGATAATATCTGAAAGGTTAAGTTATTTACGTCACTTTTAAAGAAATGGGGAAATAATTATTTTTTATTAATTTGTCTAATATCCTGATCTGTGTGTGTGTGTGTGTGTGTGTGTGTGTGTGTGTGTGTGTGTGTGTGTGTGTGTGTGTGTGTGTGTGTGTGTGTGTGTGCGTGAGTGTGTGTGTGTAAAGTGTGTAAAAGCGTGTCATTATCTTGAGGAAGCACATCAAAAAAGTCAATCAGTAAACACGGCGAAAGCACAAGGAGGAATAAGAGGAGGAATAAGAGGAGGAGGAGGAGGAGAGTGAGTGGGGAGGAGAGGAGGAGACAAACAACAACAACAACAACAAGAGCAAGAAGAAGAAGAGCAAGAACAAGAGCAAGAAGAACAAGAACAGGAGCAAGAAGAACAAGAACAAGAGCAAGAAGAACAAGAACAAGAGCAAGAAGAACAAGACGAACAATAAGAAGAAGAACAACAACAAGAAGAGAGAGAACGTGAAAGCTTTTAGGAGAGGAAGATTCCTTTGAATTGTATCTTTATCATACAACTAAAGACTCGACCATCTTCTTTGTATGTGGACGAATATTGCTCGTCCTCTGGGGATGAGAGAGAGAGAGAGAGAGAGAGAGAGAGAGAGAGAGAGAGAGAGAGAGAGAGAGAGAGAGAGAGAGAGAGAGAGAGAGAGAGAGAGAGAGAGCTGAAACCTTACTCTCGCAATCAAGTCTAATACTGTACCAAGGAGCTTGTTACCACATCTCGACTCACTCAAGGGGGGAAGAGACAGACAGACAGACAGACAGACAGACAGACAGACAGACAGACAGACAGACAGACAGACAGACAGACAGACAGACAGAGAAACATTACCCCCACCTACAACACCAATCACCACCACCACCACAACTACAACACAACATCAAAACAACGAGAAAAATAAAACACATTCAACATTACAATCAACACACATCACTTACTGAGACGCCTGGACGAGGTTAGTGTCACTTGGGGGGTGGGGGGAGGTCAGGGTCTCAGGTGGGGGGGGTCAGGGTCTCAGGTGAGGGGGGGGGTCAGGGTCTCAGGTGGGTGGGGGGGGTCAGGGTCTTGTGAGGGAGGAAAACACATCTCTCTCTCTCTCTTCATTAAGGGAAACTGGCTATAGAGTGTTAATACAAGAAGGAAAAGTTTGATATATATATAGTACAGGTAATGTTCTACAGGTGTGAGTTTATATTGATGTTTTTTTTATACGACATTGTGGTGTGGTTAGGTTAGGTTAGGTTAGGTTATGGGATGAAGGGAAATGAAGATGGTGGAGGTGGGTTCAACAACAACAACAACAACAACAACCATAAATAAATTGTGTTTTTATCGGCAAAATTACGAGAAAATTAAACACCAAATCAACAAAGTCAACACGAATTCTCTTCCCCAACCTTCACACAAGCGAGGGGAAATGTAAACACACACACACACACACACACACACTGGACTACCCTTTTTAACTCATTTTATTGGATAACATTCTTCCTCCCAACAAGAATGTCCAATTGGCCAGTGGGAAGGCTTTGATGTCTCCTCCCATCTCTGAGAAACTTGTGAAAAATGTGTGTGTGTGTGTGTGTGTGTGTGTGTGTGTGTGTGTGTGTGTCTAGTTCAGCAGTAAGAACACCAGTGATCAGAGAGGGAACAGTGATCTACAACCAGTGATCAGAGAGAGGGAACAGTGATCTACAACCAGTAATAGCAGTGACTACAACCGGTAGAAGCAGTAACAGTGACAACAGAACTAGTAACAGTGACAACAGAACTAGTAACAGTGACAACAGAACCAGTAACAGTGACAACAGAACCAGTAACAGTGACAACAGAAACACTAACAACAACACACCCACACGAGTCAGCCTAACAACACCTCCCATACAAACATAACAAAACCCGAGACAAAAAAAAAAATATTCTTATTGACACTCGTGTTTAAAATTCCTCCCTGGTGGACAGTAGAGGTTAAGAGTCTCAGGTGTAACTCAGGTGTCATTTGAAGGTCATTTTGGTAGATATTACACCTTAAGTGAGTCATTTAGATGCGGCGGTGAAGTCTCCATTGTGAGGGGTGATAGTCTCGTAATGATCGTCCCTTTGAGAATTTGGAGGTGAGGGTGAAAGGAATGGTGAGGTGATGGGGTGTGTGAGGTGGGTGAGGAGGAGGTGTGGGTGGTGTTAGGAGGGTGAGTGTGGGGAATGGGGGAGTGTGAGGGGGTGGTAGGGTGAGAGGAGGTGTGGGGTGGTGTTAGAGGAGGTGGGTGTGTGAGGGGGTGAGGGGTGAGGTATGGGATGAGGATGGTGGTGGAGTCTTGATTTATAATGAATCAAAGGTGAATGATTTAATTACAGGTGTTTGTTGGTATTCATGTGATCTTTTTACCTGGGAGTGCCGAGCTCCTCTCTCTCTCTCTCTCTCTCTCTCTCTCAACCCTGGGATAGACATTGGTCAATTACACACCAATTAGACTCTTACACCTGAGGACGACCCGAGCCTCCCTGGCACTAATCACAGGTGTGGTGCTAATTACAGTAAGCCATTATACTAATTACCGGTGTTGTGCTAATGACTGCACCTCTTTATTACCGGGATTGTTTTAATCGCCAAGACAGAGGCAGAACGACAAAACATAAAAAAAAAACACAGTTAAGGTACAATTACAAAACTAACTCATCACTGCGCAGCAAAAACGACCCCCCAAAAAATATTATACGACCTCATAAACCTAACCTAACCAATATTAGCAATCCTTTCAACTCGCCAGACGAACATTCGCCAATCTTCTGCCTCCACTGCCGTTCGTTTTTTTTTACATTGTGAGTAATATTTTCAAGATGGTGGGTTGAGCTGTCATACTCAGCAGTTCTGAGAAACACAAGACAATGACTACCCCACACACCTCCACCCTCCCCACACCCTTCCACCCTCCCCACACCCCTCACCTTCACCCACACCCTCCCCTCCTCCACCCAGGCCTCACCTCCACCTCCCACCAGCCCACCCACACCACTCCCACACCTCCACCCCTAAACACACCTCCACCCCCTCCCACATCCCCACACCCTCCCCCACATCCCCACACACCCTCCCCTCCTTCCCCTAAAAAAATATTTAGTAAAAAAGCCGTCACGACACACTATTGTTAGACGCGATTCCTTTGTCTCTTGTCTCTCCCTATCTTTCTTACCCAACGTTATCATCTTTTTATTGTTTAAATTTTAATTAATCTTTTTTATCGATTTTTTTTATATATTTTTCGTTGATATTTTTCTTATCGTAATAAATATTTTAGAGATGGTTTGGTATTATGGTAAGTTTATCTCTGTCTGTGTTCTCCTTGTCTCTCTTTCTCTCTGTCTGTCTCTTTCCTCCTGTTTGTTTGTTTGTCTGTCTGTCTTTCTCTCTCCACATTGTCTTTCTCTCTTACCTTTGTCTCTCTCTCTCCATCCTTCTCTCTCTTCCCCCTTTTTCTCTCTCTTTTATTTCCCCGTCCACCTCTCTTTCCTCTTCTCTCTCTCTCAGTTCCCCGTCCACCTCTCTTCCCCCTCTTTCTCTCTCAGTTTCCCATCTCCTTCTCTTTCCTCCTCTCTCTCTCTCTCTACCTCATTCTCACCTCTTTCTTCCCCCTTAACACTCCCTTACGTCATTCAGGGCCTCAAGGAGGACATGTCAGCCTCACACCTCGTCCTCCAGGGTGTCAAGGGGCGCCCCTGGCCCTTCCTCGTGACCCTGGAAACCTCCCCTAAGCTGTTATCGGGTACAAAAGGTGAGGCACTCTTTGTCCCTACCTGAGGCACTTGTCTTCACCTCATTTCTCTCTCTCTCCTCCTGTTTTCTTTTTGTCTTCAAGCTTTTTTTACTTACTTTTTCAAGCTTTTGTTTACGCTTGTCTTCATCCTTTGTCTACTTCTGTTTTCAAGCTTTTGTTTACGGTTGTCTTCACGCTGTTATTGTCTTTAGAATTTTGTTTGCTTTTGTTTTCAGACTGTAGACACGAATTTTACCTAACCTAAATAGTTGAGGTATAGTCAGAGAGTAATAGTGACGCCATTTTGTTTATTATCTCTGTGCCTGAGCTTAAAGTGAACCAATTAAATGCATTCCTTCGTGAGCGTAACAAGTTAAGGTAGAGTCTCAGTGTAATTTTGAAGACATTTTTATCATTAATTGAGTTTTTTACCTGAAGCCATTTAATTATATATAATTTTCTTTAATTATGAAAATATCTCCCCACCCGGTTTTCATTTAGTTAGATATTAAAGGAAGAATCTTAAAGCAATTACCTGTGTATTTAAACATAAGCCAGGTAATTACTACGTGCATTTTTACGTATTAACATCGGGGAAATTTTCAGCGTTAGATCCATTAAGATTCTGAACCTTATTCGTTATCCCCTCTTACTTATTTATCATATTTATTAATGTATTTTTTTTTCCCTCCTACGTTATCAGTAATATGTACACTTACCTGCACTTAAACCTAGTACAGTGGCTGGTGTGTCTTGTGAAATGTGGCAACACTGTGTTTGTTTATGTAGCATCCTTATTCTGGCTACTATTGAGAGGTTCCTTAGGGGTGTTAACATCATGTAAACAAACACAGCTCTGCCAAATCTCACGTAATGCGCCAGACACTGTACCAGGTGTGAGTGTAGGCGACTGTACATAAACTAACCTAACCTGTTGTTATGATTTATTGCATTATCTTCTGTTATCTCTTATTAATCCATTCTTTAGCTTCAAATGTAAAGGATAAGAATGAAGGGAGTGGGAGGAAGAGAGGAGAGAGGGAAAACGAATAAAAAAGTGATTATGAGGAAACAGGAAACAGGAGGAATGGAGAGAAGGAAAGTGTGAATCGAGAAAGAGGGAAAATTAATAAAAGAGTGACAAAGAGGGGAGAGGAAAAAGAGTGAAAACGATAAAGATAAAACACAAATGAAGGGAGAGATATAAAAGAGAGGGGGAGGAAACATAGGGTAGAAGTATAATTAGATAAATGATTAAAAACGACAATATGAATAGACAAATGAACATAAATATTGTGTCCCGTGTGTGTGTGTGTGTGTGTGTGTGTGTGTGTGGTGTGTGTGTGTGTGTGTGTGTGTGTGTGTGTGTGTTATTATCCCACCAAACAACATCTAAACACCAGAGGTTGCTTAAGCCAATTGTACGAAGGGAGAATTTATCTGCAGCCAATGAAAACCCTGATTAGCCGAAAGCTGACGCAGATCTCGGAGTTGTAGGAAGCCTCATCGGGGTCATGATGAAGTCTGTGAAGTGACTAATTGGAAATTTACCTGGCGAATATTACCTGTCTGAGAGAAAAAAAATACTGACTGGAGTAAAAGAGAAGTATTTATTTTTGTATGTATGTATACCATCTTGTGACTACACTCCACACACACACACACACACACACACACACACACACAATCAATAGAGGTATTCAGTGCTCTGATTGGTCATTTAACTTTAACAAGAGAGCATTAGTCCAACAGTTCTTAAGGCCCTTGAAACAATACATCAGGAGTCTGTTTATACTGAAGTTTGTATTGCCTTCTCCCCCCCCAGTATCCCCTCCTAACCCCTCACCACCCCACCCCTCCTGCCCCACAACCCCCCCACCTGCAGGGGCTGTGTGTTAATCATTATAAATCCTCTTTCTGTCTGTCTGCCTTTCTGTGTGTGTGTGTGTGTCTCTCTCTCTCTCTCTCTCTCTCTCTCTCTCTCTCTCTCTCTCTCTCTCTCTCTCTTAATTTTCCCTTTTCTTATTTCCTGTTATTCTTTCCTTCTTTCTATTCTCTCTCTCTCTTTCAATTTATATATAACTCCTTATTTCTTCTCTCTCTCTCTCTCTTTATCATGGCTGAGAGAGAGAGAGAGAGAGAGAGAGAGTGTGTGTGTGTGTGTGTGTGTATAAACTTGGCTGACAAATTATCTTCTATGAAAAATGTAAGCTCCCCCCTCCCTCCTCCTCCCTCTCTCTCTCTCTCTGTCTCTCAGTTAATTACAAAATATGACATTGGCCCAGGTGTCATTCTCATTAATCACAAGACACCTGGTAATTAATTGGTCGATATCGTCTGTGAATTAAAGTTGATATCTTACGTATCTTACACATTCATACACACTCTCAAACACACTCATACACAAACTTAAAAACACACTTACACACAAACTCAAAAACACACTCATACACAAACACAAAAAAACACATTTACATACATACATAAACATAAATAGAAACACCATCCTATGTATTTACACAGGTTTATACATATACATATATACATAGCACAGTAACTAAACACAAAGGGTGGTTTAACTTCAGTATATCTCTGACAATAAACCAAATCACCAGCAGAATAATGTTGTGTCAAAGGGAATTATTGTCCATAACACAGCATAGGTTAGGTTAGGCTAGGTTAGGTTTAGGTTAGGCTAGGTTTAGGTTAGGTTAGGCTAGGTTAGGTTAGGTTAGGTTAGGTTTAGGTTAGGCTAGGTTTAGGTTAGGCTAGGTTTAGGTTTAGGTTAGGTTACCCCCCCCCCCCACAGCCTCACCTCAGCACACCTGTACACCTGCATATTAACTCCTCTCACCACTACACTATTTCCAGACTATCTTAGCCTCAGTGAGTCTCATGTGAGGCTTAAGTTCATTTAAGCTCAAGAGTTTCCGTTGAAGTGGATGGTGTAGTCTACAGGAGATGTGTCTTGGTCTAGTGAGGGAATGTAATTTGCATACAGGTGTCCAGGTGTGTGTGTGTGTGTGTGTGTGTGTGTAACTGTGATATTTCGTGGGTATAATTTGCTTTGGCGGGTTTTTAAATTGTTGTTGTTGTTATTGTTTTTGTTGTTGTTGTTGTTATTACTGTTATTATTGTTTTTGTTGTTATTATTGTTATTATGTCCTCTTCCTCAGGTGCAGTTTGGAGTAATGGCAGGTAATAACACCTCCTCACCTGACCCTGTGACCACGCCCACGCCGAGGGACACCCACTACACGCCCTCCACCACCACCACCACGATCACACCACCCATCACCATTAACACCATTCCCACCGGCACGACCCCACCCCAGCCCACCACCGCCCCTGCACCCACCTTGCCCACAACACCGAAGCTGCTGGACCGCGTATCTAATATGGACGACTTCCAGAACGACTACATTGAAGGTATGTGTGTGTGTGTGTGTGTGTGTGTGTGTGTGTGTGTGTGTGTGTGTGTGTGTGTGTGTGTGTGTGTACAGAAAACAATCAATCACATTACCTGTTATTTCAATGTCGTTCTTCTCCGCAACAAAAAAAAAATTCTCAAAAGTTCCTAAGTTAATTTTTTCCCTTAACAAGAACACAATTAACCACCACAACAAAGACAGATTCTGAAAGAGTCGTAAGTTATAATTCCTTCCGATAAGAGAAGAGAGAGAGAGAGAGAGAGACATAGAGATATTATTTTTCGGACAAACTTTCACCATCACACAAATTTACATTCTTAAACTTTCAAACTTGCGTGAGTTAAGTTTTCTTTCCACTCTCAAGATGTGATAAGAGACATAGCTGACTCACTTACAAGATCATGGCGAGGCAAAGTGACTTCCAAACTACAGAGAGAGAGAGAGAGAGAGAGAGAGAGAGAGAGAGAGAGAGAGAGAGAGAGAGAGAGAGAGAGAGAGATTTAATCACCACACAAAGTCATTACGGGTCAACTTAATCGTATCTGTGTCTTACGAGGGTCATCATGTCGGGTCAACGTAGAGAAGGTCATGAACCACTAACCCCATGTCTGGTCACTGAAGGGGAAAGGTCAGGAGACATCAGAGGTCAACATCCACACGATAGGTTAGGTGAAGGAAGGTCAGGAAGGGTCATCATAAGGTCATATCGTTGTGGGGGGGTAGGTCAGAGGAGGTATAGAGGTCAAGAAGCCTAATTACTTTGCAAATGTCAAAACAGGTCATATAGCCCCTCCACATGTCAGCCAATTACATCGAGAGGTCAGGAGGTTACGCCATCAAGTCAGGGGAGGTCAGGCTAGCGCGTGGTCATGTTAGGCCAACTTGGGGAGTGGTCAAGCTAGGTCAGGCAGGCATATGGTCATGTCAGGTCAACTTAATGTCAGCCAAACACCCTCTTCTACTTATTAGGTTAACTTGGGAGGAGGTCAAGTTAGGTCAGGTGGGCGTGAGGTTATTTCAGGTCAAGTTAGGTCAGGCAGGCGTATGGTCATGTCAGGTCAACTTACTGTCAGCCAAACACCCTCTTCTTCTTATCAGGTTAACTTGGGAGGAGGTCAAGTTAGGTCAAGCGGGAGTGAGGTCATGATGGGTCAGTCAGGCGGGCGTGAGGTCATCGAGAGACGAGCCCCACCTTCGTCTTTAAGTGTGTCCCGGCAGCATCATGGCACACACACACACACACACACACACACACACAAACACACACACACACACACACACACACACACACACACACACACACACACACACACAAACACACACACAAACACACACACACACACACACACACACACACACACACACACACACACACACACACACACACACACACACACACACCATCGATGCTTACCCCCAAATTATTCACAAGAAGCTTCTGTTGTATAATAATGTTAGGGTGAGGGGGGGAGAGGGGAGGGGTGAGAGAGGTGAGGGGGGTAGGGAGTGGGGGTGAGAGGTGAGGAGGAAGAGAGGTGACGAGAGGCATGGGGATATGTAGGTGACAGAGATGGTAGGAAATTTTATCATCAGTATGTATGTAATGTATGTATGTATGTATGTATGTATGTATGTATGTATGTATGTATGTATGTATGTATGTATTTTAACATAATATAAAACTAAACTTATTTTCCCCCTAAACAGATCGACCACCACCACCCTCCTCCTCGTCCTCCTCCTCGTCCACACACCTGCGTTATGATCACCCATTCCCGGAGGTGATCGTCCCGGCGGGTGTGCCAGTCTACCATGAGCCTCGAGTGCCCTACGGTCACCACTCTAGGGGCCTCAGTCCAGGGGGGAACTTCAACAAGGTGCCCTCCCCTCCTGCCGTGTCTGTAGGGACTGTGACGGTCAGGGTAGAGGAGATATGCCTGGTGTTGGTGGTGTTGATGTTGTGGGCTGGTGCCATTACGCTCTTCATTAACAGGTGCGTGTGGAGAGAGAGAGAGAGAGAGAGAGAGAGAGAGAGAGAGAGAGAGAGAGAGAACTATCCTTCCCGTGCTTATTTCTACAGTCTATCAATACACACACACACACACACACACACACACACACACACACACGACTTTGATCTATCATGTTTACTAATCAGCCAATACTCAAATCAAACCCCCCAACACCTGCCTCAACGAATGATTAACAAAGATAATTTTACCATCATTAAAAAAAAATCCAATGTTCATAAGTAAAAAATAAATAAATAATTGAACCTTTTGAACTTAATTTTCTTTTGTTCAGTTTTATTTTTCATTATTCTCTGAACACAACCGAGGCTAAGAAGTTTTTAAATATATGACGGGATTTATTTTCCTAATGTCCCGTTAAGTAAATATATGGAGACATATATTTAGCAAAGTTCACGATGCATAAGAATTAGATTTAGCAAGTGAGAAGAATTTTTTTTTACGCAAATTGTGTGTGTGTGTGTGTGTGTGTGTGTGTGTGTGTGTGTGTGTGTGTGTGTGTGTGTGCAACTTGTGTGTTTATGAATTTTAATATGCAATTTTATTTTCACTTAACCCTATCTATCAGTCTGTCTGTTTATCTATCTGCCTGTCTATCTGTCTATCTATTACAGGTGGGGGAAGCTACGCATGCTGGAGCCCTACCAACCAGCCTACACAGCACCTGAGGTCCCTCCACGCCCTCCACCTCCTCCACTAGGGCCCTTCATCAACATCCAGAGCACCTCGGACCTCACACTGACTGACGGGGGGGCAGCTGGGGGTAGACATGACTGGGGGGCACCTGAGAGCTACGGCAGGGGGTCACTAGCGAGCGGGTACCTGGGGATGGAAAGGTCACCCTCTTGTCTTAGCGTTAGGACTCTCAACCCGCAGAGGAAGGTGAAGAGCGCCGTCGATTTGGTGTCTCTGGTTATGCAGGAGAAGATGTCGTCCAATATACACCTGGCAGCTACTAATGTCTAGACACCTGACGGGTTTTTCGAGGGAGTTTTTGGATTTTACCGATGTTTACACACCTGGTCTGGCTATTACAAAGGTCTACACACCTGGTCTGGCTATTACAAAAGTCTACACACCTGGTCTGGCTATTACTAAGGTCTACACACCTGGTCTAACAATGTCCATATATATGACCTGGCTATTACAAAAGTCTACACACCTGGTCTGGCTATTACTAAGGTCTACACACCTGGTCTAACAATGTCCATATATCTGGCCTGGCTTTTACCGATGTCTATACACCTGGTCTGAGTGTTACTAAGGTCCACACACCTGGCCTAAGAATTAACAACCAATTAAGGTCACAATCTGACTCTGTAGATCTCATGTATAGAATTAATGTAGTTGATGTTTATATTTAATTTTATAGTGTTTAATAATTGTGCAGTATGGAGGTGCCGCAGAACCTAACCAAACCTAACCAAACCGAACCTAACCTAACCAAACCTAACCAAACCGAACCTAACCGAACCTAACCAAACCTAACCAAACCTAACCTAACCTAACCAAACCTAACCAAACCTAACCCAATCTAACCTAACCAAACCTAACCAAACCTGACCTAACCTTAGCTTACCGAACCGAACCTAACCTAACCTAACCTTAGCTTACCTAACAAGAAGGCTCACACTTGATGGTGACTCTCACACTTAAATCTGAATCACATTGTCTTAGGGAGGAAGCAGGAGGCTCTTGGAGGTAGAGGTTATTGGTGGAGGAGGTTAATGGAGGTAGAGGTTATTGAAGGTGGAGGTTATTGAAGGTGGAGGTTTTTGAAGGTGGAGGTTATTGAAGGTGGAGGCTCTTGGAGGTGGAGGTTATTGGAGGTTAAGGTTATTGGAGGTGGATGTTATTGAAGGTGGAGGTTATTGAAGGTGGAGGTTATTGAAGGAGGAGGCTCTTGGAGGTAGAGGTTATTGGTGGTGGAGGTTATTGGAGGTAGAGGTTATTGAAGGTGGAGGTTATTGAAGGTGGAGGTTTTTGAAGGTGGAGGTTATTGAAGGAGGAGGCTCTTGGAGGTAGTGGTTATTGGTGGTGGAGGTTATTGGAGGTGGAGGTTATTGGAGGTAGAGGTTATTGAAGGAGGAGGCTCTTGGAGGTAGAGGTTATTGGTGGTGGAGGTTATTGGAGGTAGAGGTTATTGAAGGTGGAGGTTATTGAAGGTGGAGGTTATTGGAGGTAGTGGTTATTGGTGGTGGAGGTTAATGGAGGTGGAGGTTATTGGAGGTAGAGGTTATTGAAGATGGAGGTTATTGGAGGTTAATGGAGGTAGAGGCTCTTGGAGGTGGGGGTTATTGAAGGTGGAGGCTACTGGAGGTGGGGGTTATTGAAGGTGGAGGTAATTTTCCTAATTTAACCAAACACAAAACTTTAACTAATTTCACCTTAAATTATTCATTATTATTCATTTTCTTTGTATATAACATAATTATCATACATGCCGATCGAATACCTTTCCCTAATTACACATTTTTTACATAATTATTAATTTTTCTTTACATTTACAGGTATTTATCATAATATTACCGCACCTTTATAATGAATAACTCTTTCTATTTACACTTTTACACTTTTGTACACATAATTATTCACTTTTCTTTGTATATACAGGTATTTATCTTAATTAACTCACCAGTCAATTGAATATTTTCCTAATTACACATTTTACATAATTATTCACTTTTCTTTGTATATACAGGTATTTGTCTTAATTAACTCACCTGTCGAATGAATAAACAATAATAATAGAATTTAATAAAACACAAGACAAAGTTTTTATCGTCAATATTTTTCTTTGGATGTTCAATAATAATGTTTCAATATCAAAATGTAATACATTTACCCTCCATGTAATGCTATGCTTTTAAGGGCACCTGAAGATAAGCCTCCCTGAGATTACTTCACCTGATGATTAGCACACTCCAAGCTGGCCTAACTGAATGTAAAGCCTAATCTAATCTAACCTATCCTGACCTAACTTAACCAAGCTTAACTAAACCTAACTTAAACTAACCTACAAAAACTAACCTAACCAAGCATAACATACCCTACCCTACCGTAACTACCCTACCCTACCCTAACAACCCTACCCTACCGTAACTACCCTACTCTAACAACCCTACCCTAACTACCCTACCCTACCCTATCCTAACTTACCCTACCTTAACCTAACCTAACTCCACCAGGTAGCACTAGGGTAATTAATCATTAGGTAAAATATACTAGGGTGGCTAATCTTCAGGTAATCCGCTGTTTGTCACATATCAGTCAGGATAAAGTGTAGTTTGTAGTTTTATAGTAATTAATAGAGTTTATTAAATTTATGTGTGTGTGTGTGTGTGTGTGTGTGCGCGCGCGAGTAGTTTTTAGTATTCAATGGATTTTACTGCATTTCTGAGTATGAGAGAGAGAGAGAGAGAGAGAGAGAGAGAGAGAGAGAGAGAGAGAGAGAGAGAGAGAGAGAGATTAACAAACAATTCTCAACTTATTTAATACTCAACTAATTACATAATAAACTAACTTGTATATAATTTTAGTAGAAATTATAATCTAGAAAATGTAATAATTCAATGTTTATTTATCTTCCATATTATCAGTTGTGCTATATGCCCTTCTTCCTCTGTACATATTAATACAGTATTACTTTTATGGTCCAAACAATTACAAAATAATGTAACTATCATCAAGTGTAATTCAGTCATGTAATTTTCGTCATATTTCAGGTTACGTAAGTGAAACCTCTGTTTAACGGACTATATAGAGATGAAAGTCCGTTATATCGAGGGTCCGTTAAATGTAAAACCTCCATCTAATAAACTATAGAGAGATGAAAGTCCGTTATATCGAGGGTCCGTTAAATACGAAAAACCCCATTAAACGGATTATATAGGGATAAAAGTCCGTTATAAAGAGGTTTCACTGTAGACATTATATTCAGAAATGTATTAATGT